TTTATTTGATTTTCAAAAAATATAAGCATACATCAAAAAACAATTCAAGATCCAAATATCAAGATTGCTCTGAACCTCCTGACTTCCCCCCATCCCTTCCATGGGTCCTAATGATAATATTTACAACTGCATATCAACACTTGTCCAAATTTTTATCCTTCCACATTATCCATACTTTCCGTTACTTTACAAGTGTGGTTAAAATCCTGCTAATGTTTTAACCTGCTTACTGGTCTTGTAAGTAGATTGTGAACTTTTCCCATTCTTTTTTAAAGTTTTTGTCCTCTTGATTTCTGAGCTTCCCAGCTAATTTTGCCATTTCAGCATAGTCCATCAACTTGGTTTGCCATTCTTCTCTGGTCGGGGATATTTCTTCTTTCCATCTCTGAGCTAACAGCATCTGTGTGGCTGTTGTCGAATGTGAGCACAAATTCTTTTATGGATCTCTCCATAGGCAGCCCTGAGCATGGCAGTATGTATTCCACAGTTCCTCAGTCATGTCACTGCATAGGCATAGAATCTGGTTTTGAGCACACAATTCATTATTCTAAGGCTGTGTATGTGTTTATAGCACAAAAATGTTATTTTTTTCTCAGTCCAGAATCATCCGTGCTTGTTCTCAATATACTGCTTTCAAGTTAGATTGAGTCTAGATCCTGCCTTGTACAAAAGGACTCAGATATTCCGGTACGTGTCCAGTTCTCTAGTGCCTACTCTCTCCACACTGGCTGTATAAGCCATCCTTGACCAGGAGACCTTTTGCTAGAAGCAACAGCAGCTTTAAATGCTTATGTAAAAGTATGAGGAAGTGGAAAAATCAAACACAGGGATTCTGTGGAATAAGTACTGGTGGTGAGAGAGAGAAAAACCATCAAGGATGCCTGTTATCTTGGCAAGCCATCATAATATGATCCATTCAAGCCCAGATCATTTTACACTAAGCAGAGAAATGTGATGGGCAGAAGGCAGTTCCTTTCCTGGTGACATAATAAGAGATGAATGTGTGCTGGCCTGGTTCTGCATACTGTATATGTCCTTGCTAAATTAAGCAGCATAAATAACTGCAAGGGCATTAATACTTTTTTTGGGAACAACTATAAACATGCTCTGGTGGCTTCAAAAGAGGAAACTAGATCTGAGTGCTTGGCATTGTGGGATTTGTGAAGGATCAATGGGTCAATGGGAGGAATCAAAGCCTCACAGAAACTTCTTCTTTTTTTAACCTACTTAGTTTTGAACTTCATCTGTAATTCGTTTCTAGAAACAGTGAATGGTGCACAGAACATCTAGGCATCAACCGAAAACTGTTTTTCATGCACACAGCTGCATAAGGAAACATTTTACTGACAGAGCACACAGCCAGAAGCAATGTTTGTTTGTTTTTAATTTGTGTTTTATTGATTTTCAGTTACTAATGAATTTGATATATATATTTAAGCTGCCTTGAACACTATATAGTGGGCAGCAGGGGTAAAATACATACATACATACATACATACATACATACCTTAGCAGCTCATTCTTGATATAGGAAAAAAGCATAGCAAGCAGCACAGAGGAAAAAATACTAATACCCATTTTAAAAAATAAAAAACCCTTTCAATAATAAAATAGGTTAATGAGCCATGTGCTGCTTAAGAAAGAAATGGCATCAACTTGATCCGTAGCCTGTTAGCGGAATGTGTTTCCAAGGAAAACATACCTGGTACTATCACTGTCAGTTTTTAGATGCCAGCCTAAGACATTTTTATTAATCCAGTCCTTTGGTAGTAAAGCTACCCTCTACTGTGGTGCTAATCTTTTAAGTGGGGTGGAGTAAGACTTGTCCTCCTTTGTGTATTTTTGGATGAGCATTTTAATTTAAATAGAGATATATTTCATGGTAGTGCTGTTCAGGAGCTTACTTTCAAAGGGCACCCTCAAGGCCCCTGATCCGCCTATTGACTGTTCTTTACCTTTAAAATGGGCAGTGACTTAGAGAGCATTTCAGATAAAGGCCTGTAAAGTAGGACACACAGTCACCCTAGCTGGCAATGACCAAGATGAGGCAGGACCATCAATCCACACACACCCTCCAACAGAGAGTCAAGAACTGATGACTGAATATGACAAGATTGATGCTTGCAGATGAGGAAGTGGCTGGCTGGTTCCAATGGATATGTTAAATCCAGCATCCTTTGCTACTGAAAGGGCATGGAACTGGCAATGATTTCATGCTCTCACTATCTAAACTGGAGCTGCCTGACACACAATCCCCAGGATTATTCCCTCTTTATGCCTGGAACTGAGCCCTCCAACAGAGGAACTCCTAATAGGGTGATTGGGGAAATAACAACAACATGAGTGGGTGCATTTTGGTGTTCTATTGACAGTTAATAATTTCCTTTCTTTCTGGCATGCCAGCAGGTGTATCTAGCAATTTGTCTGAACAAAAACTGTGGGTGGGGGACAAGGGTGTGATAGGTGCATACAAGCTCCACCCTGACATCTTTGTGCATGTTTTCCCACCATCTCAGTCAACAATTTTCCTTGTGTTGAGAGGGAGAAGCTTTGCAGGGAACTTTTACTCACCACATTTACTTAAATTTGAGCAGAAAGCCATGTGCAATCAGGAAGGGACTCCCTGCTTTATCAGGGTCCGCAGTCACGCAGAGGGCTGTACACATGCTCAAGTGACCTTGAGTAAAAGTTGCAGGCCTTCCACACTCAACACGGGGAAAGTTGTGAGATTAGAGAGTGGGACTACATGAGGGGTACAATGGGGGCAAACTTGAATAAAATATGGGGGGCAGGTTAAGCTCTACCCTGCAGACGTGGTGCACGCAAACCATTTGAATGACAATGCTCACCAAATTTGAGGGGTGGCTTCCTCAAATATTTTAGGGGGGGACCTCAGCCCCTAAGAGTTGGCTCCTATGATTGGGATGATTGTGGCCAGTGCTTCTGTCCACACTGCATTTCCCCATCCACAGATGCACATTAATGTTTTTGGGGCATCAGAAGCGGGAGACTCCCTGGCTTCTTCAGCAGCCTGCCTCTCCCAAACCCCACTCCTCCCCAGCCCCTGCTTCTGCCTCACAGTCTGAACTGTGCTCTGCTGCAGCCTCTTCCTGTTCACTTAACCCTGTCACCTTCTCCTTCCAATCTGTAACCACTCCTTGTTGTCCCACCACCAATCCCCTGGCTCTGAGCTTTCTTCTCCTGGGAGTTCCCTGAGGGCTTCTACAGCTGCTGCCTCCCACCGCTCCTTGGCATCCAACTAGTCCATGACGATGCCCTGGAGCAACGCTACATTGGGGCATTTTGGGTAATGGCAGATGACCCTCAGTGCTGGTCCTTCTGTTGCATGCCACCAGTAATAAACCTGCCTTGGAGGGGAGAAGCTGATGTTCCCTTCCCACCTCGGGCTGGCCTTGACTTTTCCTTGAGATATGACCACCACCACCTAGTATCACTTAAACCACTCACAAGATATTCTGCCACAAGGCGTGGTGGATGGTCTCCCTTGCTAAAAGCTATTAGCAGAGGGGAAAGTTCTTTTGAACGTTGTGAGAGAGTGGATCTGACTGACATATTGTGGGCAGCAAGTCAAATTAACGGTATTCGGCTAGTCATCAAACATTACTTTTTAAGACTATTAAATATCTACGCAATTGCACAGAGAATCTAAAGGATAAAATTACTCACATCAAGACTACATAATGCAATGACTCTGAAATGCTACAGAGGAAACCTATGTTATTTATGCATGGCTATGAATATGATTCACGGATTTTGCTGAATATGTATGAGGTGGCTGCTATTTTTTACCATCCCTTTTTTTGTGCAATTATATAAGAGTCTCCCGATTTCACCTGAAGACAGTCTTTCATTATGGCTGCCTCCTTTGTTGCCTTTGGAATAGATAAGCGGCAGTTTCATACAGTAATATATTGTTCGGGCCGGGCACAAACAACAGTTTGATGCTTTATTCAGTTCCCCAGTCGTAAGATACAGACATCCTTCTTAAACGTCAGAAGGCAGAGAGGTGGGTCACTAGCAAAAATTTAGTAAAACTTGATGCTGATTGAGGTAGCCAGAGTGAACAAAGAAGGGGGGAAGGATTTTTTTAAAAAAAAATCAAGGTGTGGAGAAAGTAGAGATAGGTAACAGTATAGGTAACTTGACAGAAAAAGAACTTTGCTCTATCCAGTCCAGGGGTCGGCAAGGTTTACCTCGCTTGGGCCGGTTCATTCCAGCGGAGATCCCTCCGTGGGCCAGATTAGTCGTACACTCTGCTTCCGACACTGGCTGACTAGATTTAAGGCTGACTAGATTTATTTTAGATTCTTTTTAACAGAATATGCCAATGGCAAAACCTGGAACTTTTTTCATGAGCTACCAATGTGCTATGGCAAGAATGGGGAGGATGTGACCCTCCAGATAATGTTGGACTCCCAACTCCCATCAGCCCTAGTGAGCATGGTCAATGGTCAGGAAAGATGGGAGCTGTAGACCAACGACATCTGGAGAGTCAAAGATCTTGAGAGCCACTAGTCTTAAAGGGGGGATTAGACAATTTCATGGAGGATGGATCTATCAATTATTATTTGCCATGATGGTGATATGTAGCCTCCATCTTCTCTGGCAGTACTGTACACTAGTTGCTGGATAGTGTCTTTATGCCCTACCTGTGGACTGCTCAAGAGGCATCTGGTTGGCTATAAATAGAATGCTGGGGTCAGTGGAGATCTGATTTAGATCCTCTTACATTCTGGATACCATGATTGGACCAACGCATATTCAACGCATATGGTATCTGAAGAAGTGTGCATGCACACAAAAGCTCATACCAATAGCAAACTTATTTGGTCTCTAAGGTGCTACTGGAATTTTTTTTTTTATTTTGTTTCACATATTCAAAGTGTTTCCTTATTTTTCTACTGAAACAACTGTTTATGGACAAGCTCCACCCAGGTCTACCAATTACAATTACAATTTTCCTTTATTATTAAATTGTTGCTGTTGTTGTTGTTGTTGTTGTTGTTGTTAACTAAATTTTTATACCACTCTTCATCAGAGGATCACGGGGCAGTTTACAATACAATTTCACAAAACATATAACATAGTACCAAATGAAAACAATACCCCTGCCACACACAGCACAGAAAACATAGTGAAATGTTACTTTAACTGTACACCTATATTTATTAACCTTTAGTCAATTTTTTTTATTTGTTTAGTTACGTTATTTAAAACTATTTTTGTATACAAATAATGTATGCAATATTGACTTATGAGTATCTTCCTTTACTTTTTGACATGTATAATTTACCGTTGAATTATCAAAACGTAAGAACTGCAGGTGGGAACAAATGCAGGGGACCATAAGAGACAATATATCAGATAATATATCACTAGAGAATACAGGGCATGGGCCCCCCACCTGCAGAGATAGAGGTTGAGAAAAGTGGTTGCATGGGGATTTAAAGTTTAGTCCTGTAAAATAAGGTTGAACGTTAAAATAATGGCAAAAGAACTTTTTTTGAGAGAGAACAGGTTAGTATATTAAAAGCTGCAATGTCAATCTGTCCCCCTTTCACCAGTCAAAAGAGTAAATGCATCTAAGCAGCTGTAAGAATTCAGTCTGATTATCTCCTGGGATGCAAACAGTTCTCTCAGTTACTGAGAGAAGCTAGATTATGCCCAGTTGCAACATAAAGGAAACCTACCTGGTTCTGCCTCCAGGTGTTCCTTGCTCACTGGTATTTTGAAAGTTTGAATCTGCCTTGTTTGAGTGAAAATGCCTTATGGCAAATTGCTGAAGGAGCAGCCACTGAAGAATGTCAAACATCAGTCATTGCTTTGTGATTGCAGGTTTGTGCATAATCAAACTTATCAACTGCATGAGGGTTCTTCTTGTGCTGATTGACCTCTTTCCATCTGAATTCCTCCCAATAGCACAAAGGACCCTACACATCTTTCACCTGGGCAGCAGAAAATGTAATCACCAACCTCTGTTTGTCTTGATTGTTTACATCAGAGAGTTTTTCTTCCCCACTTGGACCTTTGGGAGGTGAGTAGCTGCAGCTGCCTTCAAGAACAAAGCAATCTTCTTTTTCATCTCCACCTAGATGGAATTAGAACACAGTCAGTCAGCATTGGAAAGGTGACATGAGCAATTAATTTATTGTTTGTTACTTAATGGTAGCAACATGTTCAGAATGACAACAAATGCGTAGCATCTTTGAATTACAAGCCACTGACGTTTCATTTCTGAACGGTAACGTATGATTAGGAAGCTGGGAAGTTGCGTTCTACTGAGTCAGAACATAGTCCATCTGGCTCAGTATCATCTACTGATAGACAACACACTCTAGGGTTTCAGGCAATGGTCTTTTCCATCTCTACATGGATATGGAGGGGTTATGCACTTTTTGCATGCAAAGCATGTGCTCTACCACTGAGATGTTGCCCCTCCCCCTAATACAACTAGACTTCAGGGATGCCCAATGTGATGCCCTCCAGCTGTGGTTGAAGTACAACTCACATTTAGCCCGAGCCAGGAAGACTAATGATCAGGGATAACGGGAGTTGTAATCCAACATCTGGGGGCAGAAAATGTAGCTGGTACAGTGCTTTTTCTTCAAGGGAATATTCTTCTTAGGAAGGCTTTAACTATTGAATTTAATTGTTAAACACATGTGAGGCCAGTTGCAGGAGAGGGGAGATGACAACCTTAGTGAAGTGATTGTACTTGCTGCTTTTTTTAAACTAAATTTTTAAAAGTGTACATAAGAGAATGAAAGTCAACAATGCATGTCTTCTCCCCCACTCCCTGGGCTTCTGTTTACTCACAGAATGAATTAGGTGAATGTATTTTTTTATTATTTTATGCAAGTTTGTGTTTTCAAAGTTTAAGAGCCAAGGTAACAGATACATAATTGTGCGGAATGAGTGCTTCAATGCACACAACTATCTAGAAACACCCGCACAGCAAGTCTCTTTCATCTCTAAGCTTGTAACCTAAATACCACAAAAGCAACATACTGTGATTCATCATTATGAACTTGTTTATTGATTGCCGACTTTAAGGATTTATTATAATTCAGGTTGCTTAACAGATCATCAAAGGAAACATCTGAGAAGCACTAACTGATTTTTAAAAAAAAGAAAAGAAGAAGCACTAACTGAGAGCCAGTGTGGTGTAGTGGTTAAGAGCGGTAGTCTCGTAATCTGGGGGACCGGGTTCGCGTCTCCGCTCCTCCACATGCAGCTGCTGGGTGACCTTGGGCCAGTCACACTTCTCTGAAGTCTCTCAGCCCCACTCACCTCAAGGAGTGTTTGTTGTGGGGGAGGAAGGGAAAGGAGACTGTTAGCCGCTTTGAGACTCCTGAAGGGGAGTGAAAGGCGGGGTATCAAATCCGAACTCTTCTTCTCTTCTATCTCAGCATGTGAAGGGGGAAACATTAAAGAAAATAGACATACATACCTGACACAACAGAGAAAGGCTTAACACCATTTAGTATTAACGTCCCACTGTGTGAATCTAAATGCCTACAGATGTTATCTTTCTATCTGCAGAGCCTTCCACTTTACAGAGGACAGTCCTCTATTTTGAAGAGCTGTCAGAGAACAGTCATCTCTTTGAAGAACTTTTTTATCTGAAGGGCTGGTCAGTCTAAGTCAAATTATTTATTTGCATTTATATCCCACCTTTCCCCCTCCCCACAAGGAGTTCAAGATTGTGCGTATGGTTCTCCCCCTCCTCAATTAATCCCCACAACAACCCTGTGAGGTAGATTAAGCCGAGAGCAAGTGACTGACCCAAGGTCACCCACTGAGACTCGTGGCTGAGTGGGGATTTGAACCCTGGTCTCCCAGGTCCTACTTCAATGTGAGCATGTGCATAGTCATACGTGACTCAAATGCACACGAGTGTGGAGTTGCCTGTTTACTTTAGAATATGTAAATCCGTCTCTCTTTCAGTTGATGCATATTTCATATTTTAGCAATGAGGGGCAATTAGATACCAGAGAAAGGGGTTCCAAAATGTACAAGGAGCCTCCACAGAGCCTCCTCCCCCACTCCAAACATTTTCCTTCCAACCTGCAAAAGGTGATGAAAACAGGGGTGGATTGGGCAAGCGTTAGTATACTCAGTCCCACTTGCCTCCACCCCTTCACATGGTAATTTCTCCGCTGAAGTTAGGTTTAGTGGTAGGTTTTTTGTTTTTGTTTTTTAAAGGGGGGGGTAAAAAACTAAGTGATATACATACATCTGAAACCTGTAGGTTTATATAGTATTAAAAACAGTGTTTTATTTTCCTCTTTTGATTATATATCTAATTTCTCTCTCACACACCAATATTTCACAAGCTGGATGTGAAAAATGGAGACATTTGTGGGAGATATAGAGTCAAATCTAACAATGCATATTCTTCCTAGTTAAAATGTGTAAGGGTTAAGACCATAGAGCCGTATTGCTGATAAGCCAACTGAGACCACAGAAATGTACTGTAATTGGTGGAGAAGGCTCTGTGTGATGTCCTTTCCCCTCCTCTCCTGGGAGGGAAGAAGCAAAAATATTTCCTGTTCCTTCTCTATTTTTCTCTTCTTCACACCACGTAAGCAGACAGATACACAGACCTGATGGGCTGCAATATGTTCCAAGCAGGGTTGCCAACTCGTTCTGTCAGCATCTGCTCTAGTGCCTTACTGCCTTTAACAGGAACCTGATGTGCCGACCTTGATTAGGTGGCAGTGCTTTAGTCTGTGCCATGAAAAGCCCCCCAAGCTGTTGTTAAAGGCACAATGCCAAGTCAGACCAGGTTTGGCCCCATCCCAGTCAGTTGGCAACCCAGTGGGAGAGGAAACAATTCCTGAGCGCCTGTCCTGTGCCCTCACCATTCCCAATCTGCCAGCTCTGATTCTGCACAATCCTATTGATCTTACGAGGTTTGTGCAAGGATTCTGCACGAGGCTGTGCTGAAATGAAAGAGGTGCTTGGCAGGCTGCACCCAGTATTAATTTGCAAATTCAGGCACATGCAGGGACAAAACAAACAAGTATTTTTGTTTCTAGATGGTCTAATGAAGGTGTTTGCCAAGCCATGAAGCCAGTCCCTCCCTAAAATTTCTCAAGCAAAGCACCCAAACAGATGCATACCACTGAACACCCACATATTTGTTTAGTAGGAGAAATGTTAAAAACAAGTTCCTTATCATGGTGTGCTTGGATTCTGCACCTCTGTGATTGGAGAGTGCTTTATTATCACTTAGCAACCTTAAGTGCCTTGGCAAAGTTGATGTTTACAGTACAAATTGTTGCAAGCTTCTGTTTCATTTTGCATTCTGCCACATTCCTTTCCCTTTTTCTTCTCAGACTGTGATATTGTAGAATCACAAGGCAGGAAGAAGAACAGAATGTGATTTTCATTAGGGGTCACCCCCTTATTAAGCCATTATTCTGCACACAGGTAACTAACAGCTACCCTATACAATAACCTTGTTGCTCTCTATCCCTGCGTAATCCCAGAATTTAACATTTTATGAATAGGGGACAACAGAGAATATGTTTTTTAAAAAATTGAATGCAATATTGATCAGAGGCTCTAACTGCAGCCACACATAGACAGCTAGATAAATGATAACCAATTCATATATAATGTAACTTTAACATATATCTGAAAGTATTCTACCTATTATTGAATGATAAATAAACAAGACAGTTTAAAATATGCCCAATGTGCCTAACTCATAACACTAAATTGATTTTATGAATTCATCACACACTGCTTGAATTTAATCAGCTTTTGGTGGTGGTGGTGGTGGTTGTTAATTCAAATTTTTTGTTTACTTGGTTTTGTGTTTGTGTCCTGAAGAGATGCCATTCCAATTACACCACCCCACGCCACCTCGCATCGTTCTTGTCCTCTATTACATACTTCTCAAAAATAATCTGTACAGGCAGTGAGCTTGTTTGGTTGAGTCACTTTTGCTAATTCTGATAATGCAAGCTATGTTCTCAAAGGAGGGGAAAATTGTAAATCAATGCACTGCTGGATGGAAAGACAGTTTGTGCATACAGAAGACAAGAAATATCACCATGGAATTGAAAACTATGAATTATCTGGCAACAGAAATATAAATAAAATGGAGATAGAAGCTTGCAGAAGATTGCCATAAAGGGAATTGCAAACATGTCAGGGCACTCTTGAAGGCAAGACTTCACTAGAGCATATATGCAGGAAAAAATGTAAACATTCCCTCTAAATTTACAGTATTGAACAGAGCATTGAAACTTCTGACGACTGGACTCCAGGCCTATGTAAACAGATTGCCTCATCCTACTTCCCACATCTCTGAGACACTCCAAAGGCCATGGCAGGCTATGAAAAACAGGCTTGTCTTATTTTCCTCTCACACCATTAGTAGGGGCACCATGGGCAATTGCCCAGATTCTTCCAGAATGAACTAACAGAGAGCTGTGACCAACTCTGTGCATGGCTTGTAATCTATGCATAGATTATATGGACTTGCTGATATAGTCCCATTGACTATACAGTGGTGCCTCGCAAGACGAAATTAATTTGTTCTGAGAGATTTTTCGTCTTGCGAAGCACGGTTTCCCAAAGTCTTCAACATCACCAAAGTCTTCAAAAACCTCAAAAAAGGCTACCACACCGCGTGCTATGAGTTGCTCCTCGAAGTCACCCTGGGTATTAACGGTTTTAAGAAAAAGGAAACAAACTTGCAAGACGTTTTCGTTTTTTTCGTTTTTCGTCTTGCGAAGCAAGCCCATAGGGAAATTCGTCTTACGAAGCAACTCAAAAACCGAAAAACTCTTTCGTCTTGCGAGTTTTTCATCTTGCGAGGCATTCGTCTTGCGAGGTACCACTGTATCTGCAGGAACTGTTCCTTTCGTATTGGTATGAGTTTGAGGAGGGAGGGAGTAGGCTGCATGCAAGATCCTTCTAACATGGATCCAGAAAGTGTTAAAATATAAGCCACACCAGTTTCCTGTGTTGAGATGATAGCCTGGGTGATAGGCCATTAAAGTAAACAAAGGAAAGAGGCTGTGTGTGAGATAGCAAATGGGTGGGGCCCTTCTCCCAGCTTGTGGTTAGTTAGAAGGACAAAGCCTGATAGAGATGGGTATGCAGTGATGTGACCTAGAAGCAAAGCAGCAAGCAGACAGAGAACCATGCTGGATCTCTTCCTGAATCCAAGGTTTGGCTATGGGAGAAACAAGATCCTTTTAGGGAGTTAGTGTTGTGAACCTCCCCCCAACCCCAATTGCAAGCTCAGGTTGAATAAATTATATATCATAAAGACACCACAGTCTCCGCTGTGCCTCATTTCCAAAAGGAAACATGAACCCTGAGTAAGTCCCTGGAACCCATGGAATCAGAGATTGGGGTGGTGTGGAACAGTATGTTTTATAGGAAGACAGATGGGCCCTTCACTGGCTATCGCTATGGCATTTCTACTTTCCTTTGATCCAAAAGTTGTAGCGACAAAGAGTCGAAAGGGAGAGGACATTCTCCCCAAATTATGGAATTCCCTCCCCATAGAGATGCATCTGGCTTCTTCACTATGCAGCTTTTGGCAAATCCTCAAGATGCACCTCTTTCCTTGGCCTTTAACACCTGAGATGAGTGATTGCAAGGCTCACCCTATTCCTGTGACTGAAATCTGCTGTTTTTAATTTCATTTTGTTGTAACTTACTCTGGAAACTACTAGTGAAGGGTTGGCAATAAATATCATTACCATAATCCTGATGTGATAGACAGTCACATCTGCCTATATTACTGAGTTGTATAATGTATTGAAGTTAGGAACACGGCAGGTATTACAGAGCCACAAGCAAGCTCATTTTGGGGACTGGTCCAACTATGGCACCCATTCCAAGCAGGATGGAAACTTGTTCTCAGTATTTGTTTCTTGGAAAGTAATATGAGAGACAAATAAGGCTTCACACATGCTCTTTCCCCTCCACATCTACTTATGGCTGTAGATACCTCCCACTTTTTCAGACAACTTCATGAATATACCCTGGATAAGTGTTTACTCAAAACATGCAGTTGGAAATCCACCCCTTTTTTTTAACCATACATTTGAATATTAATGGAGCTGCTGTTGTAACCCAACCCATCTTAGGTCAGCCTGCAACCCAATAGTTGGTCCCAATCTATCTGTTGAAGCAACATATTGCATGTGAAAACTCATGTCCTAAGAGTCAGCTGCAGCATGAATTTATCCATGTTTACTCAGAGGTTACTCCATTGTCTTACTTCCTAGAAAATGTACTTAGATCTGCAACCCTAGTTTTAAACTCATTTTCCAAAGCAATCTCCATTTTCGCAAATAAAAGGAGGTCTTATCTGGTCTTTATCATTAAAAGCTGCAGACCTATGGAGACCTTACTCAGAAGTGGGTTTCACTGAGTTCAGTCTGATTTGTTTCAGAGTAAACATGTATAAGATCTTGCTGCATGAACACTGTGTATGCAATGACCCTGCTGCATAGGAAATCTCTTGTCATATTTCCAAATATATATATATATATATTTATCGATTGCATTGTCTTTGGAAGACCTTTGGAACCTGCATATTTTCAATGATGCCTAATCACTTTTTTTTTGTTAAGAAGCACAGTAGCTCAATCAACCATTAATTCTGTACTACTTTGTTTTGAAAAGAATCAAAGTAACTGTCTGTAACTATTTCATTTTGCTCTACATATTTAACCATGATAATGCAAAGATAGTTGTTTCAGTTTTAAAAATATTTTACCCATTCCAACTTTTCCCTGTTGCTGATAGCCTATCACAGCAAGAAGGGCTACTTGCACTCTAGAATGCAGAGCAGAGAAGTTGGGATGTCCTCACACAGAAAGTATTCAACAAGCCTGAAAAGTATAAGATTATATACTTCCTATACCCAGGATAAATGTCCTGGACAACTGAGAAGAATATTTCAGTTCTATCCAGGTCTACCAACAATCACTTATGGTCAACCACAAGTACTCTGTTAAGGACTGCAAGAAGCATTTTGACCCAGCCAATATCCTCCTTGCAAACAGGAGGGGAAATTGCTGCCACAATCATTTGTTTCCTGAGGTTTCTCTCCTCCTTCCTAGGTCTGACAGCACATTAATCAGAAACCACCAGCCTCATTCAGTTACATTTTTTTTAATTCAAGAATTTATATCATGCCCTTTAATTCATAAGCATTTACTCTGGGTGGCTTCCAATAATGAGAAATATCACCATGATCTCATAATAAAACAGTCATATAAAACACACAAGTATAAAATAGAAACATGGCCCACAAACAGTAAAAAATAACAAAGTTTGCCACATAAAAACATGATCAGTCTGATACAAGACAAAAGCAGCCCAGAACAGAAAAGTCTTGATAAGGAAGGCCTAAACCACATGCAGCAAATTACACGGCTTAAGCACCATGTCATCTGATCTAGGTTGAGTACACACCATAAATTTAAAGCACATGCCACCCCCGCCCCGAAGACCTATGGGAGCTGCAAGGGTGCTGGAAATTGTAGCTCTGAGAGGGGAAACTACAGTTGCCAGGATTATTGTGGGGCGGGAGGGGTTGTCATGTGCTTTAAAATTATGGGGATACCTCGCAGAGCTACAATCCCCAGCACCCTTAGAGAACTAGTTCCAGGATTCTTCGTGTGATGGGTGGGATATGAATCAAATGTGCTTTACGTACACTGTACTCCGCATTCCCCACCCCGAAAAAGGATGCCTTGTGCTGGATTAGGAAGGGTTGCAGAACAGCAGAACTGTAGAGTTGGACGGGACACCAAGCGAGACCAGGGCGCTGGGCGAGCGCGGCCACTGAGGCATCTCACCCAACGGCCTCCCGCGTTAAACTCCACACAGCGCGTTTCCCCCAACCCCGGGGCCACCGCAGGTCTCGAGCGCGTGGCCGGCTCTGCGCGTGCGCGTACGCGCGCCGCCTGGTTTGTTGCCATGTCGAGTTCTGACCTCACTGACTCCGCGGCGGTCACGCCAGCCCCGCCTCCTCCCTGCCTCCCTACTGTACAGGCCGGCGTTTGAAAAAGCGGGCGAGTCCACCTGAGCGCACTCAGTACAGGGGTGTGTCTGAGGGGGTAAAAAAACCACACGCTCCCGCTCACTGACACCTTCGTGCCTGCCCTTGCCGCGACTAGCCTGGCCCCCACCCCGTGCCGTCCGGGCGGCCGCCGAGGTGGGCAAACAGGGCCGGAGCTTCCCCCCCCTCGCTTCTGTAGCAGTTGGACGCGCCCGCGGCCGCGTCACCCATTGTTTACAAACCAACCGCAGCAGCAACAACAGCGTTTTGAGAGCGAGCGAGCGAGCGGAGAGGGCGCCTCATTGGTAGCTGCGGAACGAGCAGCGGAGGCGGCGGCGGCGGCAGCGTGCGCGCCAAGCGGAGGAAAGGAAAGCGGAGCCGGCTGCTGCCATGCCTTGCCGGCGGGCGGGCGCAGAGCGCTTCCTGCTGCTGGAGCACGCCGTGTCGCTGCCGGGCGGCGCCGTCGGGGCGAGCAGCGGCTCCAAGGAAGTGGACGCGCTGGTGGCCAAGCTGGGCGAGGTGCTGCAGCTGAGCGCCCAGCGCCGCGCGCCGCCGGCCCCTCGCCTGCCCCCCAAGCGCCAGGGCCGCGACCGGGCGGCCCCCTACTCGTCCCCGAGGGGGCTCGGCTTCTTAGCCTCGCTGCACCACCCCCACCCCCGGCCGCCCCACGCGCTGTCCCCGGCGTCGCTGCTGCTGCTGCCTCCGTCCCCGCCCAGCGCCGCCGACCGCGAGAGCAGCCCTCGGGTGGCCAAGCAGCTGTGCGGACGGGGCTGGCTGCGGAGCGCCGGGAAGAAGCAGCGCCAGCAGCACTCTCGGCTGTCCGCGGGCGACGAGGACGACGACGACGAGGACGACGACCCGCACCGCCTCCTCCAAGAACTCATCCTGTCCGGCAACCTCATCAAAGAAGCCGTCCGGCGGCTGCAGCTGGCGGCCACGGCGCCCTCGACGGCGCCGGCCGAGGCCTCCTCCGCCACCGCATCCCCCGGCTCGGCTTCGTCCACCGGCAGCTGCTGCTGCCACAGCAGCAGCGGAGAAGGAGACTCGGCGGCGGCCTCGGCGTACGGCGTCTCCGCTTTGCAGCCTCGGCCCTGACGCCCCCACCCTGCCCGTCCGGGATGCAGCCGTGCCCTCCCGATCGCCGACAGACTATGGGAAGACTATGGGAAGAGGCTTTGCACCTTTTTCCTCTCCGCTACAGACAGTTAGGGATTTATGGCGGGGGGGGGGGGGAGAGGCCAAACGCGACGGCGACGAGGTGCGACTGCAAATCCCCAGACGCGGATTATCGAGGCAGCGCCGTATATACTTGAAGCAGACTTGTCTATTTGCTACGAGACACTGAACGATATTCTTTGTAGCTCGTCGTTATGGACGGAGCCACGGCTGCTACTGACTCACTGTTCTCTCTTTATTAAGAAAATTGTGGTGTTATGCAGCCCTGGACGGTTGCCCTCGCAGCCTTTCCCGTCGACCAGCCAAGATGACCCGAATCTGCCTCCTGCGCCAGGATTTGTGCTTTCCGTCTGAACGCTAGAGCCCCACCGCCGCAGTAGCCCGCTCTTTTTTGGAGGGGGGGGCGAGCAAAAAAAAGGGACCATCCCGCGTGGCATTATTTAGTGTGGAATCATTTTTACGCACACGCCGGTGTGTTGCTTGATGGGGGGGCGGGCGAGGGGTGTTGCACAGTAAAGGCATGTCAGATGTTTTCTATTGGAGCCAGTACACTATTGAATGCAAATATGAATTGGTTTGAAGAGCTGCGCCCCCCACCCTTTTCTGCCAAGGTCACCCCTTTCTGCCTTTCCCGTCCAGGCTCTGTTTGTTCATGTTGCGTTCCCCAGGCAGTTGGAGATCGTAATCCTATCCGAGCTTGTTTTGACTGGGCTGTGGGCGAACCCTGTGTGTTTTGTAACGGCTGGGAGTCTCCTGAGGACGCACACGTTGCCATCCGAGTTGTTGTGCTTTTCTCTCCCCCCCCCCCTTTTTCTCTCTCTCTCTAAAAGCTCCTCCTCTCCTTACAAACAGGATTCTGAGAAAGGAGGTCATGTTACAGCCGTCTTTCTAAGAAATCTTCCCCCCCCTCCCCTCCAGTCATAAGCAAATCTCTGGGGCTCTGCCCAGCCAAGGGTATTTGGTTTGCCTCTTTTACACCGTCTATGATCCCCAAATTTCCCTTGTGAGTCAATCCTCGTACAAAAAAGAGAGAAAAGAAACGTTGCCTCTTGTTTTGGATTGTCTCAACTGGAACCATTTGCATTATGTGTAAATTCTCTTTTTGGAGACACTCGGGGTTTTCACCATTTTTATCTTTTACATAAATCTGTTTTGCGGCTGTATGTAGCCGTTTGAAAATGTGAATATTCATGCTAGAAAGTGGTTGTCTAACATGCAGTGAGAGGCTGAGGGCGAAGGGGCACATTGTTCACAGAAGGTAGCTAAAAAATGAGCTTTTTAAAATTAAAAGCAAAAAAATATAAATGAATAAATACACACAGAACCTCAATGGCTCAATCAGCAGAAGCGGCTGTTGACAAAATATAAATATATATATATACACTTCGTAACGGAGTGTTGGAGTTGTGTTCCTGGTTTTCAGGACTTGTCTTTAATATGTCTGTATTGAATAAACGTGGTAGACTTTTATATGAAAAAGAAATTCTGTGTTCTGTCGTCTTTGCACTAGAGTGGTTTAGTGTTCCCACTTGCTGTATATATGATCAATTGTTTCCTCTTCCGGGAAGCCTTCACGAGGTGGGTGAGGGAGTATGGGGGTTGGGACTAAACCTGGGCTGTGCGATGCAAAGAGCTGGTTACAAAAGTCTCTGAATACAACTCAGTCCCTTTGTTTGCCAGCAACATTCTTCCAGGCTCAGAAATCCTCTTGTGCATTTTGTAGTTTTGTTCTTGGAATGTGTACATTCTACTTTATTTGATGCAGCCACTGAAAATTTAGAATACTATAAAGGCTGTGTGTGTTTGCAACCCCTTATTCTCACCCCATCTCCCTCCCCTGCCCACTTTTGTGGTAAGAACAGAAAGGATGATGTAGCTCTCATTGCAGCAGTTTATTTCTTGATTAATATTGAGATGCAGGAATCTTGGACCCAATCCAGGTCCACTGCCATCAGGAGGAGGCTGCTCATTCATGTTAGTGAGATAAGAATGGCCTTCCCTAGATGCCAATTAAACCAAATGTCCTCGGAACACTTCTCACATTAAGACATTTGTCCTGGATTACTCCGCATCAAGGTACAAATGAACTAAAGCATGCTATTCCACCTCTTGCCTCTGTGTCACAATTGCAAACAAAATCTGCTTCTTTGTAGTAGATGGTGATTGTGTCGAGAAGAAAATGGAAGGCAATAAAGCTATGAAAATGTACTTGCCTCATGCTCTAATGCTTTGCAATAAAAGAAGGGCTATGTTAAGATTACTACTTCTTAGAGTTTTAGAAAAGAAAATGGAAGCAATGACAGGAATAGCTTACTTGCTGCTAGAACTATCTGTGCACACAAATGATTGGTAGATGCTGCAAGAATGTGATAGCCCTTCCCTTTGCAGAAGATGAGGAAGAGAAGATGATTGGATCCTACCCAACAAACGAGTAATAATTATACAAAAAGTCATATGTAATGGCTGCTACTACTAAATAAATAGAGTGTTAAACATAGGACACATGTATATTTACCTCACTATTTTTTGCCAATTTTTTTTTAGCCAGCCAGGTAGTAAACTAGTAGTGTGAACCCATGACTTACTTCCTTCTGGCCTTAATGATACTAAAATTCCAGTAGCAAATGTGGATTTGATGGTTCAACAGGATTGCCAGGCCTTTACCACTACAATTCTGGACAAATCTGACTTTGATGGGTACCTTGTCAATATGGTCTCATCTGAAGGTAAATGGGTAAAATAAATAAATGCATCCTTGTGTAATTTACTTTCTCTTTACAAAAGGTGCCCGCAAATGCTTTTTTTTTTAAAGGACTGGCAAAGCTTGATAAGATGTTCAATTAAGTTTGAATTGCAAAACATAACCTACGTGTGGGGGGGGGGATTCTGCTTCAGCGCACTTGGGGTGGCTCTTCTTTAAACCCACCTAGAAATTCTGCATTATAAGGAAATGTTGCACCTTGGTATGGTAAAGGAATTAGTTGCATAGACTTGGGGTCAAACTAAACATGATGGTCAGATGGATGTGAACACAGATTTAATTGCAAACACCAATTTGGTGTGCTCAAATCACACCAGAATTGGAGAGTAAGAGTCTATTGTAGTACCAAGAAGTAAGGAGTGTAGACCACTTCACTTTGCTGCACCTTCCCCCTACCCCCAGTGTGTTTCTTCCAACCAAGCACACTTTCAATATTAGGGTCCTGTGCCCCTCTTTCTCTTTTGCATAGGCTCCCACCCCTTTTTCGACAATGAATGGAATCACGGAACCTACATGACTTGGGCAGATTAGTGTTTAAATACTTAAATCTGTTGCAGTCCCATCTAGCTCAGCACTTACGTAACTCATTTTGTCATTGCTTCATATAAAGCAGATGTTTGAAATTGTATCACTGAGTAATTATGTATTCCTTACATGTGCTCTAGGCAAATTGATCTTGAAATAGAGTTTCATAACTCTTTACGCTAATGGACAAGTTTGGTTCACAACTGCTGTTTGGGGCGAATGTGGAAGGGAAGCTGTTGCAATACACACCATCTATTGAACAAGCTTTTGTGGTAAAAGCCTTTTCTGTCTGTTTGTTTGTTTGTTTGTTTCCTGCTTGTATTCTGTATAGCATAGGTGGGGAACCTTCAGCCATAGGGGGCTGCATTTAGCCCCCACCCCTGCTCTACAGCAACATGAGAGTAAATGTTATTCAGTGATTGTTCAAGCCAAGAATAGCAAAGGTAAAACAAACAGAA